GAATAGACGTCATTAGGTCATCAAACAAAATTTCATGCAAAACATGAGTGAATGCTATAACAATGAAACAATTGGGCTTGGTGAAGCTGTGTGTAGTTCTGTCGTACTTTCATTAAAGTGATAAAAATTTGATTCTCAAAATTGATGGATTATACCTTCCAAAACACTCAGATTTAAGGTTTTGGCTACGGAAAATACAAAGCGACCGTTAAAAAGACAACTAGCTGAAGCTTCTATAATTCAGTATTCGATGATTCTCCCTCATGTCCTGATGTCAACTCTTCACCTGAATAGAGTCCGTAAATCTCACTTAAAATCACGTAATTCATCGAATTCTCACCGATTAAGGAATTCTTTTGAATATCAGTTCATACCTTATGAGTCGAATCCATCTCTTGTACTCGTCGTTCAGCATTGTAGCGCTTGGAAAAGCAAAGAACTTGCAAGTGTTGCCCTCCGACGAACGGCCACATGTAGAACAAAACAGTAAACCATTTTGCCCGTTTGACCCGCGTCCTTACACTTCTTCAACAAAGTTGATCCTTTGGATGACCCTTTAACCTTTCCTGTTTTTTTTATTGTCTTTTGTGGGATTACACTGGATAATTAAAGCTTTATACATTCAGAACAAAGGAAGCATGTCCAAAGCGCTCGCTTAAGATATTTTGTTTAGAACTGCATTTTAGCGCCATGGTAACGTGACGTCACACTTAAGGACTCTATAACGCACGAACTAAAATCCAGAAAGTACGCCGAATAAAATGCACAATACACTTCAACTTCAGCCAATGATAAGCAACTCTAGATCACGTGAGATCAAGTTGGGGAATTGTCGTTATCCTGCGAATGTAAGTTTTCGGCAAATAGTGAAAAAGATTCTTTATCAAAATTGGCACATACACAAATTTATACGTTTTACAGACGTAATAGAGTCCATTCTATCTAAATAGTTATTTTAACAAATTTTAACTCCATAGTTTGTGCATTTCTACATTTCTACATTTCTACATTTCTACATTTCTACATTTCTACATTTCTAAAAATAAAATATTTCTACGTATAAAGTCAAACTTACAGTTCGTCAGGAATTGATGGTAGATTTAAATCATATATTTCAACACTAAAGTCCAAATATAAAACCTCGAGCAAGATATTAAAAAGTTCAGCATAACTGTCAACGTTTGATTCCATCCCTACTTGATCTTCAACAAGATTCTCCTGCAGAACGTTTTCTTCGCGGGAATTGTTTTCGTCTTGTTGCTCATGCTCCAGTCCTTCGTGATGTTCGTCTTCATTTCTATTCTCATCTTCTTTTGATTGAAAATTGGAATTTTTATCGTTTTTGTTCATATCTTTATTTTTTATATGCTAATGTGACTCGCAAACTTTACCAACAAATGCTGCTTTCGATGAGGAGGTGCTCCGTCACAAGCCAGCTACCACTTACTTTGGTGTAATCCAAAGGACGTCCTTATACATCACTGCCTTGCAGAAACTCAGAGACTCAGCAAAACTGTTTACGTAACCAGTCACGTTCATCCAGTCGAATGCCAATTGCAGAAAGACCAGAAAGCCGGACATGGCAAAATGCCGAAATTGGGAAAGCAAAGCCCCCTGCGAAGCTTTTTTAGTAGTGATGTGTGATGTAGGTGTGATGTTGTGATGTGCGTGTACAACAAAAACAGTCCTTCTCAGGACTATACCAACCTGGACGATCTACATCTACAAACATGTAACGATACTCCCGCGTTCAAACCATTTACTTTAACCAGTAAATGGTTTGTGAACAACAATATTTAGGTGTACATCAATCTATGACGACGAAAGTCGCCAATTCTTCAACATTCGCTAACCTTTGTGTCGAATCACTCGAATGTATTTGGATTTATCTTACTTGAAATTTATTTCTATAAATCTGTTTCTATCAATGCATTCACAATTTCAAACTTGTCAGATTTTTCATTATACCGCACTAAAGATGGCATAAGTTTGCCGAAAAATGTCTGCAATAAAAAACTTAAAAAAAGTTGTCATTTATGTTAAATGCGTCATTTCAATCGTGCCATTACGAAATTAGGGAAATTAGAAAATTATGTTAAAATGTTGAATTTGTTTGTTAAGATCTGGTTTTTGTTTGCGTGTGTCTAAGGCTTCTTTGAGTTTTAGAGAAAATTGAGTGTAATATTCAAATTTGTCTCTATCACACTCATGATATTTGCCGTGTAAATATCACTAATATTTCATCAAACCTTCTCCTTTTACTGATTAACACGTATCAAGCATCCTATGATAAATTCAGCATTTTAAATAACTTTACTTTATTCTTCATTTCAATCGTGCCATTACAAAATTATGGAAATATTCATATAGTTGTAAATATAGGAGAAGCCCCTGATCCATGATACAAAAATTGCGCATGAAAATTCGATGTTTGAAAATTTAAAAGTTGAATGATTCTGAAAAGAGTTTATGTAATTTAATTTTGTTTTATTATTTTATTTACTTAAATCGAAATCAAACTAACGTGATTGAACAGTTAAGGCTGAAACACACTAGGCAATCGCTTTAGTCGCGCGTCTGAAGGCTGAATGAAACACACTAGGCAATCGCTTTACTCGCGCGTCTGAAGGCTGAATGAAACACACTACAATAAAATTTACAACTTCCTGATTCCGACGATTCCGTTCTTTTCGCCAAAAGTAACAAAACACAAGTTTTTATGTCGACGTCACCGAAATACACGACGTTCTATAATTCATTAAATAAAAAATCCTTCAGATAAACTTGTATATGCCAGTATTCTGTTGTAGAACCAAAAGTGAAATGAACATATGATCTTTGCACTTTGCTGGACAATTTAAGTAAGTGTCACATGAAAGAATTCGTGAAACGAATGTCATATGAAAGAATTCTTTCATATGACATGAAAGGAATGTTTGCTTTGTCTGACTGGGTAACTATTATCTGAAGGACATCACTTGAGTCTATTGGACATATTTGAAAGGAATGTCATATGAAAGAATTCTTTCATATGACACTCCTTTCACGAGAAAACATGAGCCCAACAAAATTGAATTCTTTCATATGACATTCCTTTCACGAGAAAACATGAGCCCAACAAATTGACCTGCTCTCCTCTGTGTGACTTCATAGCTCAGTTGGTCAGAGCACTGCACCGGTACCGCAGAGGTCATGGGTTCAAATCCCGTTGAGTCACCTGATTTTTTTCAGGTTCATGAGACAATTGCTTAAATTGTCCAGCAAAGTACGAAGATCATATCTTCATTTAATATCAAACACCGCACTGTATAAAACATTCTTTCATAGAACCAAAAGTGGTAAAATATTATCATAGTTGTTTCACGTACGTTGGATAAGCAATGTCACCTTACGAGAGCAATTTCTCTCCCCCCCTCTATGACGGGTGATCACCGCCAAAATTAAAACATGGCATTCGGCAATGCGAACATGACATTCGGCAATGCGAACATGAGCCATATGAACACAAGGTGATTATGTACAGCAGATATGCGTAACATGAGTAATGCGAACACAAAGTTCTTTGTGTCAGCTGTGATGGAGAAAGAACGATAAGATGATACTTCATGTCCTGATTAAGAATAAAAATAAGTTGACGATAAAAATTGGAAACTTGGCTTCAAACACTATTGTAATACTTATTTTTCAGATTTTCTGGTTGTTTTAGTGTCATTTAATTGCTCTAATTTTGTTGAATTTGACATTTTTGAAAATTTATTTGGCAATGGACATCCGCAATGCCTGCCCACCCGGATGAATATATTAATACAAATAGTTATAATTGGAAACTCGAAATCATTTTTATGAAATGGTAAGTTTGTATTTGTTAAATTAACATTTAAAAATAATACAATTGATTAATACCATATTTATGTAATGTTTCATCTTTACAGTGTTTTGTTCGGACTAAAATTTTATGTTTCTATTGAACAGGAAGATACTAGAAAGATAGTCATTAATCATTTACAACTGTCTATGCGGAAAATTGAGCACATCTTAGAAAACAATTCTGAAGAGCTCCGGACTATGATTGCTTATCGTTTAGAGTTGATCATCTTCGACATGTTTTAATTTGTTCTGATACAATAAGTATACCTGCTCAAGTTCATCAGTACTTAAAGGACATTGGCAACGAAAATTTTTTTTTCATAAGTTTATCATAGATAGCTATGGAATACTTAATTTCGTGTTTTCGTGTCTCTTTTGAATTTTGCTGTTGAGAAAATTTGACATAAAGTTGAATCCTTATCCGCCATTTTGAAAAAAAACCTTATGCTAAATTATGCCGGAATACATTACTGACGTCATTGGCTGGTATCCACTGAATGACACAATATAAAATAATAGTATTATAATAATATATAGCACATTTGTTCACTGGAATTTTAAAACAAAAACAACAGTCGGCGGTTGTTAAGATTAACAAAAGTTGTGTAGTTTATCACGCTTATATACTTTTCCAATATTTAGTCGTTATAAGACGTAGAAACGTTTATTTTAGCAGATCTTACAACTAGGTTTTGCCGACATACCAAGTGTAAGCCGGACAACAACAAGCGCGTTATATACACTGAACATTTCGTGCAATAGAAATATTTCATTTTCCCATAATACAAACCTGTGACCAACAAATGAGTTATACGTTTAATTTATTATTTGTATACATAAGAGTCTTTGAAAGATTATGTAGTTTTATATAGGTGATAAGCTCTAAGCCGCTATGTTTTGTTCTTGACTGTAGAGTTTCGTTTATCCGTAATGTTTTACGTGCGTGTTTGCGTGCACAATGTACAAGTAAACTTTTCGATTAACTTTATAACTTATGAATGAATGCAAGTTTTGGGTGGATCACTCATGCATTTTGCTTTTGCGCAGTTCGTGACAATCCTTTGACAATGATATGGCATCGCAATTGCAGATCATAACAAAGAACATCAAAGAGCGTCTGTCTAAGACTAAATTTACGGTCTTTCGTGATAACATGCGTATTCAAAATGTGTATAAAGTCCGTCTGGTGACGCGAAGCGTTTTCGTATGCTAGCATAAACACAAGCAGGAAATGGTCTTCGATGTTTCTTCCCCAAAATTTGAAAAATCCACCTAGAACATCTTTGATAGGCAACTAATCGATACAGCTTGTGTATTCTCTCTAGATCCTCATCAGACAGGGGCCAGTTTTCTTCAAGATGCCGACACACGTCTATCTTTAACACACTTTCTGAGAGCATATTGTCCCTAAATTCTTGGTATGTTGTCAAGCAATTTACTCCTTGAGTTTCTGTTTGGCCTAGCGATGCCTCATACTCATCGTATTCAAGCGCTTTTTCATGGCAACAAAACACTCGATTGCCTTTTTTGACAAAGTACAATGTCCACACTTACACCAACTAAGAGTTTGAAGGCGCTAAGAATTAGCTTTCTCAAATTCAGCATGTATTTCATCCTCCGACGAGGACAAGTCGCTCTGCTCACTCTCCTGTTCGGAACCGCTTTCTTCACTAGTTTCGGCCTTCACTTCAGGTTCATATTGATAGGGCAGAACCTCACCCGGTTGATTTTCGTGTATGTCATCCATTGCAGCAAAAAATCCCGTAAAATACGCTTTAAATGTGTTGTAACGCAGTCAATCACAAAGTATATTGTATTGTTGTTTTGACTGCTCACCAGCCAATGACGTCACTACCGCTCTAGATAATTTTATCAAAATTTTATCCAAGATGGCGCAATTTATAAAACTTTTGCTGCAAATATCTCAGCAACAAAATATTTTTGATAAAAAATTTTTCTATTTTAGTTGTTAGACATCACAAAGGTTCAAAAATATGCCATAAAAATTTTCGTTGCCAATGTCCTTTAATTTGTCGAATTTAATTGTTTATAGAAGGCCTTTGGTTGCTTTAGGTCCTGAAGTGATAATTATTGAATGCATGTAATACATTCATAGTGATTTACACATCATATGACTTCTTGTTAAGTTGTTGAAAGTTTATTCAGTGTTTAATCATATGTTCAAAATGGCGAAAACAAAACACCAAATCAGAACGGAAACTAGCTGAAGAATTTTTTTGATTCGTAGCATGTTTGAGCGAGCAAAGAGTCGGAGGAAAATGGCAGAGTCAACACAGACTGTCCTTTGCCGCAGATGTGTTTGACTGAAATGAACGCTAAATGGCGCCAATTATCACTAAACACGTGATGTAAAACTCGCCCTAGTTTTCTCGGCCAAAATGTATTAAGTTCGGCATGATAAGTTCGACGTTTGAACCGGATCGAACTTTCTTACTTATTTACTTCCGTGACTGATAACTTATTGAGTTATTGTGCGCATGATCAGCAGAGGCACCAGCGCGCTAATTTCGTCGTGCTGTGTAAATTTAAGACCATTATCATTATTCATTTCTTTAGAAATCTATTGTCTTTACAGTTAGTGAAAATATTGCATTGCACGACAAAGTGCATTAGGGGATCGGGCTACGCTACCCATCATTAGCAACTGGTCACAACGAACAAAATGGAAGTCATCTCGTTTGTTATAAACAAATAGGTAAATTAAGGCACTGGGGAGGTTTTTCTTCATTTCGGAGGCAGCACTTTTCACACAATTTAATTTACTATAAATTTAGGGGTCGCACGACCCTTTGGTACGTATAAACTGATACTGTTCATGATGTCGTTTGTAATATGCAAATGTTATAACAAAATGGAATCGCATCTTCATAATCTTCATTTCGGAGGCAGCACTTTTTACACAATTAAACTTACTATAAATTTAGGGTCGCACGACGCTTTTACTACGGGTTATTTACCAGATAGTTTGTGAAAATTCATTAAATGTTTCAATACTTTTTAGCAGATGAAAAAAATCTCGAGGTGTATGGGTACATCGTATGAAAATTAATTTAAAACTTTTGCACAACAGCAAATAGAGCATCGAGCCTCGTCATTTAAGGCCCGACAGCTACATTCGATTGAAATTTATTTTCAACATGAGTAAAATAAAATATATAAGCTTTCCTACCTCTCACAGCAGCCTCTCTTCTGAAGTATAAATCTGACAACATGAAGATGCGATGGTTTAGTTTAATCCATTTACGTCAAAGAATGGTGGGCGTCAATGTACATAATTATGATCAGAATCAGAATTTTCATTGGGTGGTGAAATCAAAGTTTTGATTGGTTCTTGTAAATGTTTATAAACTGCGTCGAGCTCATGACGTCGTCAGATATCACTTTCACTTTGACTTTCGTGATGGAAACATCTCCCAACCAAGAGTCAAAACAAGCTCTGAACAGAAGCAGGATGAAGTACATCAGATGAACACGAAACAACACTGTTTCATAAAACTAGTAATGTTTATTTTTATTAAAGAATGTTTTATGCAGTGCGGTGTTTGAAATTAAATGAAGATATGATCGCAAGATATGATAAGATAGATGTATCTTCGCACTTTGCTGGACAATTTAAGCAATTGTCTCATGAACCTGAAAATTCAGGTGACTCAACGGGATCCATGACCTCTGCGGTGCCGGTGCAGTTCTCTGACCAACTGAGCTACTGAGCTACTGAGCAACTGAGCAACTGAGCACTGCGGCACCGCAGAGGTCATGGATCCGTTGATCACCTAATTCCGGATTCATGGACAATTGCTAAATGTCCAGCAAAGTCGAAGATCATATCTTCATTTAATTTCATTTAATTTAGTTTATTTTGTTGCTTTTCCATGTCGATAAAATCATAAATGTTCTATCGTTTTGTGAACTTTTGTAATTTTACAGTGAACATCTTAATACACTTCCGCGTGTGAAATTTCAAATATTCTCAGTTTCATTTGATGATATATAAAGTTAGAAAGTAGCTATAGAAATTTTCAACGAACTTCACTGACTGTATAAGTTCTGATACACAACAAAGGTGAACGTCTAGATTAAGTCAAGATGAAATTTAACTTCCATTTCAACGACTACACATTTACAATAGTTTCGCGAAGGTTCAATTCATCTCAAGTTAAATATTTGAGGCTGTATTTTAACCATAATGGACCTTAAATAAATCTTCTCGAAATACTGACCATGAAACATTTATTTCTAATAGTCACATGAAAGATTGATATCTGTGTTGGGTTTGAAAATAATTGAAGTTTAACTAAATGCTATTCAAGGCAACCGCAGGGTCGTAAGATAAAATAAAACACAGTAACTTAAAACAAACCACAATCATTTATGCTTCACCTTGTTATTCTTCATCATCAGGATTATCATCATCACCATCAACTTCTGCATTTTGACGTTCAAGTTTTCCATTTCCTTGGCAAAGTATGCTTCATCCATATCTGTGACAACCTTTGGCTAAACAGATAACAATGATAATCAATGATAGAAATTTATAGCTTAAATTTATCATTTGAAATCAACAAATTTCTTGTATAAATGCAAATGCATGGCAATAGGATTTACAAGTACATTTCAACCCCTAATCTTGATTGGCATGTATCTGACATAATGAGAAGAACTGACAAAATAAACACAAAAGTGGTTTGCTAAGCTCTTGTTTTGTAATGATCAAGGTTAAAAATCTGTGGGTAAAGTGAAGGTTTGAGTCAACAATTGACTTGTAATGTGCCAATTCATCGCACACTAATCGACAAAGCATACAAACTTAACAATACAAACAATGGCTTTTAAGGGGACATAAAAAAAAACATCACATCCACTCTTTTACGAAACTCTTTCCCTACACTTTATTAACAGAACCGTAAAACGATATCACGACAACAAACATAGCAACAACCTCAAACTAGACACCGCAACTACTGACAAGACGATCACAACCAACACAAATGAAAATTCCAAAACAACAACTCTATACTTCAAACTACCATACATCGGACATTACTCACGACACACACAAAGCAGACTTACAAACATTATGAAACGCTTCTGTACAGATATTGACATTCGACTAATTTTCACATCATTCAAAATCAAAAACCTTTTCTCATTCAAAGACCCAATCCCTGATTCAATTAAATCTATGGTGGTGTATGAATTCAATTGCGCGGGATGTATTTCCCGATACATTGGCGAAACTTCGCGCCATTTATCCACCAGAATCAGGGAACATACCACAACAGACAAAAACTCTCATATCTACCGAAACCTTGTTAAATCTCACTCGTGTAAAACTAACTATTCACCCTCTTGCTTCAAAATCATCGACACTGCCACCCTCATTCTCCTTAAAATCAAAGCACTCCACATTCTCCACATTAACATAACTAACCCTGACCTCAATGTTCAAGTTTTTAAATTCAATACAATATTTAGTTTATAATACGCTCGGACGCTCCCCATTAATTTATCTTATTTCCTTATTATTGTTGTAATTTATGTATCATATTACTTTTATACAAACCTTGTATTATTTATTATTTCACTTATACTGAAGATGGCATCATGAGATGTCAAAACATGTCTATTTTAAAAAACTCGTCTTGTATATTAAATGCGCATTAGCAATAGTGCTTCTATAAAATTATGAATACAAAATTTCTTAACTTTGTTTGGCTTTTGAATTTTTACACCCATTACTTCATGTCATTGTCTTGTTTCAATTCTCGCAGATAAATATTGTCAATGTTAACAGGGTCGTTATATTTTTGGTTATAAAGGACAGGGATGGTGTCATTGTAATTTACAAATAAACAACTGATGATGAAGTCATACTTGAACTTTGATAATGTCCCTTTTAATACAGTTACTTAGGAAGTGGTAACAGGATGATATGAGGATAGTAGAGGATGTCAGTTTAGTGATACAACCAGTGTGGGAATTAGTTCAGAAAAAACGATGTGCAATTTTTTTGACAAAAGTGTTTCTTTAGAGGCATAATCAAATCGATATTACGTTAATTACTACATAGCGCTAATTGCTAAATTAATATTTTAAACGTGAACAAATTCATATGATTTACGACAGTGTTTTCGTTACAACCGCTGATCCAGTTATGTATGAGAGAAATTTTTTTCGCATGTTATTCTCTCTCTTTTTGTGCAAACTTTACAGCGCAATAAATTCACCACTTGCCATCATCCTAGTAATCAAGCGAGTCAGCATTTGATGTTTCCGTCCATTTTTCACTGTATTAACTTTGCTGGTAGCTACAACCTTTCGAAGAAGATGGCAAGAAAGACAAAAGTGAAAAGAGAATAACCGAATATACTTTTGCTGATTATCAACAGTAAGAGCACTGTACCGGCATGGTTAGAGCACTGTACCGGCATCGCAGAGGTCATGGTTTCGAATCCCGTTGAGTCACCTGAATTTTTCAGGTTCATGAGACAATTGCTTAAATTGTCCAGCAAAAGTGCGAAGATCATATCTTCATTCAGTAACATCCTTGATGTTTACTTACGATAAAAAACATCATATTTATCAGGGGCGGATCTAGGATTTTTCAAACATCAGTCATAAACGTCGGAGCTCCGCACCTGGGGGTCTGAGGCATTCCCTGAGAAATTTTGAATTTCAGAGCCTTGAAAATGCCATTTTCAGCGTTTTAGAGCAATACAAAATGTA